CAATGATTCCTTCCTTTCTCCTCCCATCCTGCCATTGATTCCAGGGACACTGGAGCTGGGCTTCAGTATTAGGTGTCCTTCTGTTCTTTTCATCTCTTTATGCCTAAGACCTGTCACCTAGGCACTTTCAGAATGGTGGGGAAGGCCTCCCCATACAGATCAGCCCTCTCCTACCCAGCCTTCTGTTCGACCATTTCAGTGCTCAGAGACACCAACATGGTCCCTCACAGCCATAATTGCTGTCTCTGCCCCTAGGGAATTGCCTCAACCTAGGAAGCAAGCTACTTGACTTGTCTCTAGCTCGGGATAGCAATGTCCTCTGATTCTTTAAGGTCAGAAGTTGTGCCATGCTCTCCCCAGGGTCCCTGCAGGCCAGCTTTTAAGATCAGGGACATACCAGGGATTACTGAGTTGTGAGTGAGAAGGCTCATTGAGTTTTGTATGGTTGCTATTGTGGTTTAAGATGGGGTTACTCAAATTTCCCTTCTTTTATTCCTTTTTTCCTAGCCCATGCTGGCCTCAAAACTATAATCCTCCTGCCTCAGCTTTGTCATAGTGGACATTACAGTGCTTACTGCCATTCTGGGTGCCAACTTTATTATTATTATTGTTATTATTATTATTATTCCTAGTCACAAGGCCCCCGCCTGGAACCTTGGTTGGGAATTGTAGCCACATAAAGCTCAGCCCAGGGGTGGCTGACCTAACACTTCAGGGCTGCCACAGCTTTATGGGCTCCAAAGGGAATGGGATATTTCCAGCTGTAGCCAACACCTCCTGAGTCCCTTGGGGCTAGGTTGTAGGATGTCCTGCGGAGCCCATGGGAAGAAGGGAGGAAGGCCAGCCTCCCCAGGGTCCCCACCAACACTGGTGTTCAGTTCTCCCTGTACATGGATGTGCAGTGCTCAGAGCCCAAAGGGTCCCTTGCCCACCACTTCTGCCTTTCCAGGGTGACCTCTGTACCTCCCTGCTTTCTACCTGAGCTCTCAAGTAGACAAAGCAGTATTGCAGATGGGCGAAGTTCTGAGAACCATGTGAATCTGGTGCTTGGTCAAGCAATAGTTTCTGTGCTGGGAAAAGAGGTCCTTGAGCTGTCCTTCCTGACATCAGGGCCCCAGACCTCACAGCTGAAGATTAAAAAGATATAAGCACTGGAAAAGATTCAGAGTCAAGTTCCAAGGTAGCCTGGGTACATGGCAGGCCTAGGTTTGGGTCCCCACCAAATCTCATGTTGAGTTTTAAGACACAGTGTGAGGTATTAAGAGGGAGTTCCCCTGGGTAAGATAATCAATCCTCATTCAGAAAGGCAAACGGGATAGACCACAGAAGATGGAGAAATCAGGGAACAGGACAGGAGCCTACCACAGAGGGCCTCTGAAAGACTCTACCCAGCAGGGTATTAAAGCAGATGCTGAGACACATAGCCAAACTTTGGGCAGAGTGCAGGGAATCTTATGGAAGAAAGGGGAGATAGAAAGACCTGGAAGGGACAGGAGTTCCACAAGGAGAGCAACAGAACAAAAAAATCTGGGCTCAGAAGTCTTTTCTGAGACTGATACTCCAACCAAGGACCATTCATGGAGATAACCTAGAACCCTTGCACAGATGTAGTCCATGGCAGCTCATTGTCCAAGTGGGTTCCCTAGTAAGGGGAACAGGAACTGTCTCTGACATGAACTGATTGGCCTGCTCTTTGATCATCTCCCCCTGAGGGGGGAGCAGCCTTACCAGGCCACAGAGGAAGACAATGCAGCCAGTCCTGATGAAGCCTAGGGTCAGATGGAAGGGGAGGAAGACCTCCCCTATCAGTGGACTGGGGAAAGGGCATGGGAGGAGAAGAGAGAGGGAAGGTGGGATTGGGAGAGGATGAGGGAGGGGCTACAGCTCTGATACAAAGGGAATAAATTATAATAAAGAAAAAAGGAAAAAAAAAAGAAACAGTCTATAAAAATTAAAAAAAGAGAGGGTCCCTAAAGAAGCAATCAGGTCCAGAAGGCTCTGGACCCTTACTCTCGACTGATCTACTCATGGATTATCACCATGGGTCTGTCACAAAAGCTAGCTTTTCCTGCATCTGGTACTACTTTGCCAGGTGATGTTTCACGATTACTTTGGAGTTCTGCAGATTCCCTGTTGTTGGGGGCACAAAGGTCCTTGCACCCGCATATCACTAGGGAAATCAGAAATGTTAAACACACAGAGGCCTCTCCTCTCTTTAACAGAGAAGATAAAATACCTGTTTTCCTGCCCAGAAGGCTCGGAGTGGATTTTGTTAAGACCTGATGACCTTTTTGCTATCTGTGAAGGCAGGCCTCACCCAAATTTCCTGGCCTCGCTAGACTGCTACCCATCCTTAGGGGAGATGCCACACGTACTCTATGGCCTGCTGACCTTTATGCTACCTTGGTGAGAGACTATACTAGATTCTAGGCCTTTACCAGAATCTACCCTCATGGTCACACGTAGCTTACACAGGAGTTTCTATGTAGTCACACCTAAGCTTTATTGTTCAGATGGAATTGGAACGATTGATGCTGGAACCTTTGCCCCAAACTGTAGTGTGTTTTAAATGTGCTGACAAAGAACCGCTTGGCATTAGAGTCCCCAAAGTCTGATTGACAAAGTCAATCATTCTCATCTCTTCTTGGGTTCTCTTCACGGCCTCGATGCCTGCAGGGTCTCCCTCATCCTGTATTCGAGAAGGTGTGGCCCCTTCAGCCTCCATCTCCTGGTCCCCAGGACATGATCTGAACATAGTTTTATTAGTTGGAATGTTTGTGTGTGGGGGTGACCTCAGGCATGAACAATATGTGTGGAGGTCAACTATTCAGTCAGTTCTCTGTTGTCGCCTTAGGAGATCTCAAGATGGAGCTCAGGTGGTCAGGCCTGCACAGGAGCGCCTCTATCCACCACACCATCTTGACAGCCCACTTTTCTTCTGTACGAATCTCCCAATCTAGGATTTAGGTGTAGCTACAAAAGACAAAGGCAGAGAGCTTCGGCCCTGCTCCTAATCGGCTGTGCACCAGGGCACGGGTCTCCAAGGTCTGTTTCTGGGAAGCAGGTTTAAAATAGGTTTTGAGTACTGTGATAAGCAGAACAACGGCTTTCAAAAATGTCCACGATTTTACTCCCAGAACCTTATGAATATATTGCTTTATGTGAAAGGCGGAATAACAGGGTCCCAAAATATCCATTTTCCAATTCCCATAACCTTATGGATATGCTGCTTTCTGTGACAAAAACCTCCTCCTTCCAGATAGAGAAATCCTAATAAATAGTTCTGACCCAGATTAGGAGCACGGCACTGGGGACTCCGAACTCACCCTTGGGACACATGGTCAGTGCCTTTCTGTCAATACTGACTGAAGGCCCTGAATTCCACCGAGCGCTCCTGGCCAGCTGCTTCCCAGCCCCAGGGGCTGCACCCCAGCCTTCCTTTCCTGGGCCCTTAAGTCCTCAGTGCCCCAGGTAATAGGGTCCCCTCTTCTCTATCGTCCCTGCAGACTTGTGGTTCCTGTCTCACAGTCAACTAAGCCTTTGCTTTTTAATTTGTGCTCCAAGACCCACCTGTCTATACCTTCTTAGTGCAACTTTAAAACCAAGACTGGGACTAAAATCATGTGGCCTGAGAAGTGTCTATTTTTACTTTCACTCTGCCATGCCTTCCAGAATCCCCAGGATAGTGGCCTGCAGGTTTCTGGCCACAGCCTGGGCCCAGTTTACCCCTAGGTAGACAGCAAGAGCCAGGTCATTTCCTCATGGTGTTTGGGGTGTTTCCTACACCTCTCTGCGGTTGTAGATTTCCTGACCCACAGACTGACCCATGGAGTGTCTTGAATACTCAGTGCTTTCCAGAGGAAGTATCTAGTCCACCACCTGCAATAACTCTTCCCATCACGCTGGTGTTCTCTTTCCTCAAGTCTCTGCAACTGTACTCAGGGACCTCTGTCCGAAGACGTGAGACAGGCCAGAGATGCCAGGCTTAACCCCAAAGGGTGTATCTTTCAAGGGCTTGCTGGGGGAAGCTGGTGAGAAAGCCACCAATCACCTGGATAAGGACCTTTGAGGCCCTCCATACACCACCTCAGATGGTCCAGTGAGACAGAGCTGTCATTACCTCAGTCCACTTCCCTAGCACATCCTGGCTGCTCCTTTCCCAGTGCCCTTCCTCACGCTCTGGTGGACCAGCTCTAGAACACATTGCCCAGATCTTGTCTCAGGCTCTGATTCTGGTGGAGGTCAAGGACAATAAACACCCTGGCAAAATGGGCCCTGCTGTAACAGCAGGGCTCTCGCGACATGTACACACTCAGCTCAGTAGGGACCACACTGAATAATCTGGAACTGTAAAAACCTCTTCTGTAACTGCCAACAGGACAATGGGTCCATGGGGATTGTCTCCTCCTGTCGTACTGTAATTCTGCTTTGGGATTCACAATAAGGCTATGGTGGCCTTCTGAATCGGCTGACCCTTGACGGTGAACTTATTTCCATGTGTAAGTTTGTAGCTTTACTGCAAGGTAGTGGTTCTCAACCTGTGGGTCAAGACCCCCTTGGGGATCAAATATCAGTTATCCTGCATATCAGATATTTACACTACGATTCGTAACAGTAGCAAAATTACAGTTATGAAAGAGCAATGAAATAATTTTATGATTGGGAGTCACCAGAACATGAGGAACTGTATTAAAGGGCTGCAGCACTAGGAAGTTCAGAACTACCCCCTAAGGCATCTTTGTTTACTTGCTTGGGTTTATTGTGAGTGTGAAAAAAAAAATCCACATTTTCTCTTATCCAAGAAGTAATTATCTAAACAACAGGCAGGATTTTCTAATTTCTTCCCCCCAGTGTTTTCTAGCTTTGGCCCACATGTCTCTCTTGGCTTGGAGACAGTGTCAGTACTCCTGAAAGAAATAGAATGGTGGGAGCGGGAGCAGAGTCATGCTCCAATGGGGCCTCCGGGAACCCCCTCACACACACCAGCGCCCTGGGCCTACCTGGTGTGATCTCAAACAGGTGCTTCCCTGGGTCCTCAGGGTCTGGAAGAAGTTCAGTCACTTGTGTCCCTTGTAGAGAAATAAATCCCTGAAATGGAGACAAACACAGAAAAGAAACCTGAGAAGTCTGGGAAAGGGCTCCTTGGAGTAGAGGGTTACACTAGAAAAGAGCCCAGCCTTTCTCCTGGCAAGGGAGGCTGGGTACCAAGGGGGGAGGATGTGTGTCCTTGCTGCTGCCTGGGACCAGGCACACACAGCTGGAAGGTGGGGAGGGCTCTTCAAACAAGAGGTGGGCTCAATGGGTGGGCTCAAGGGATAGGCCAGGACGTCCCAGTGTCAGACTAGGGAAAGTAAGACTCGGGCCAGGAAGACAGAGCTGGGTGCTTCTGCCATCCCTTGCCTCCCCATTCCAAAGGCTCACTGCGGTGTGCTGGGCCAGTGTGAGTCTGTGGAAGGAAAGCTAGAGTTTGAGAGCCCTGGAGGTGACACAGGGGACAGACAGCATCACAGACCTATCTGAGTTCAGCCTGCCATGGCCAGGCAGGATGAGGTTTCACCCTTCTCTTGTTTTAGTTTTATTTCTGTATTCAATTAGTTATTAAGAGATTATTGTTGCAGCGCTGGGGGTCGAACCCAGAGCCTCTCATACTCTTGGCACACACTCTGCCATTGAGCTGCATCTCCAGCCTCATGTACTTCTTTACCTACAGGACAGGAGTCACCAACATATACAAAGTCACCAGCCTAGACAGTGCCATCTTTCTGTCACAGGCAAGCACAGTTGTCCCTTGGAATTCACAGTGTATTGGCTCCAGGACCCCTTAGATGCTTTCTCTGAAGCTCAGTCTCTATGTCTGTATAATGGAACAATGACCCTCTTTTCTCCTCGTACTAGTTCCTCACAGGGCTGTTCTGAGCAGAGATGAATTCGATGCTTGGGATGTCCTGGAAGTAGATCCTGGCACTGTGCGTGTGTGCTTGTTTTGAGACATGGTCTTAGCTCTGGCTGGTCTGGAACTCATCATGTAGACCAGGCTGACCTTGAGCTCATAGGGATTTGTCTGCCCCTGTCTCCTGAGAGCCATGATTAAAGGTGTGTAGCACCATGTGGAGCTGAGAAACATGTTAGCTAAGGAAATCTCTCTGTATGTCTGGGCGCCACACCGGCTGGGGAACATATCCATGAGTCTGCCCTTGCCCAGGTGGCGGGCTCAGTGTCTGCTTCACCACTTCCCATCCCCGCTTCTAGGCCTGCTAACAGAGACTCTACTGTTAGGCCAATACCATCTCAGTGAGTCCTCATAATGTCCTCATGGGGGACTCTATGTCCTGTTACACAGGTAAGAAAGGCGAGGGAAGGAAAGGTGAAGCATGAGCCTGCAGCTGAGTCAGCTCTTTCCTGGCGAATCCTGGCCAAAGCAGGGTAATGGGAGCCTTATGTCTGCTGGTATCGCTTCAGGGACATATGGAAATGCCTCTTCTTATTTAAGTAACATCAAGGCAGAATGGGATCGGTACCCACAGATGCTTGCTCTAAGGAAATTATAGCAGTAAGTCAGGGATCCAGCTGGTAATTTCTGTAACTGAATTACTGGTTGCATTCTTGCTAGGGAACCTGGAGCTACAGGGAATAAATTAGGACAGCAGCCTCAGGGTACGGGAACTTGTTCATTAGAGGGCGTGGGCGAGGTCCATCAACTGTGTCTCCGCACTTGCTGTCTCTGTAACTGGCTCTGTGATGGGTACTTTGCTGTGCGTTTCCCCTCTGCCTCAATAACTGTCATCCGAACAATGGGAGTAACAATATTCTCACTGCCATTACTTTCTACTGAGGCTAAAGCAAAAAGCAGAAATAGCTTCTGTTGTGGGAAATGGTGCCATGTTCCTGGCTCCTATGCCTACACGATTGATCTAGAAGCCCTGTGGGGCAGGTGCTGCTATTACTGCCTCCCTGCCCTGGAGGAGAGAAGTGAAGCCAAGTGCAGGCTCCCGTCTCTGCTGTGAGCAAGGGTAAGCTGGGATTGAGTTCTCACTCCCCACTCCACTCCCCACCTTTGTGGTACCAGCTTCCCACCAGCGCAGCTTGCTTCCGAGAAGCCGCTGCGGGAGAGCCAGAAGGGTACTTTGGGATCCATCAGTTCCTCTGTACTTCAGTGAATCTCTATACGGCCTCATCACGGCAAGGGACCTTGGCACCAACCTGTGGCTCCACCTAACACCGCATCCCCAACCTTCCCACAAGTCAGGGGTGAAGCTTTGATCTGAGGGCATTGGGAGGGGGTGGGCAAGGTGTGGCGATCTCACAGGTCTGCTCTCCTGATAGGTGGTGTGGTACGAGTTCACACTGCGGTGACAGTATTTGTAAGCACCAATCATCCCTGGTGCTTGTTTCCCAAGCTACGCCAGAGCTTGTTGGAACACAGAGGTCTGGGCTTGTGTGGTCTGACAATAAAGAAAACAAAGCACCCAGTTTATATGTTTGGCATCCTCTGTAGTACACAGTTCTTTTTCCTTTGTGGCCAGTCACACGATGTCACTGAATGTGGGGTTGGGAAGGGATTCGCTGCAGTGTTTGCCTCACACGGTCACCTCAGAACACAGAGCACAGTCAATGGAGCCAGTTGAGAAGGGGAGCAGATGAGAGCTGATTTCTTACTTTTGCTATTTTTTTTTAAAGTACAACTGATTTAATTGGGGGCCTGGATGAATTAACTGCTCATCATGGCCCATCTGTTCAGAGTAGCACTGGACTCCGCCTTGGAGTTTTGAATTCTACAGTTCTGGAGAAAGTAGCTGAATTTGTATTTCTGCTCACTTTTCTGATTTTGGTGGCCCCGAGAATATGCTTTGAGACCTGCTGGTCTGGAGTTTAGTCCTTACCTAAATTTGTGGCTCCCCCCCACCCCGTAGAATAATGACTTCATGGGGCCACCGTGACAAGGCCATGGCTGGTGATCTGCTCCAGAGAGAGGGGCTTTGGGTGAAATCTTGTGTCCTAAATATGTGGGCCATAGGGACGAGTATCTGCTTCTGTAGGGCAGGAACATGGAGATGGATTTGTTGAATAGTCTCAAGGCTTTATAAGGAGACAGTCAAAATACAGAAACCTGAAAGCTTGAAAACCAGAGATATGCTTTCAAGTTGCCTCACTCAGTGGAATACGTAAAACAGACCCAGACTCCTGAGGTACAAAGCACGGTGTGAGTGAGTGATGAACGCAGCAAGGGGGGTTAACTAAAATCTGACTCTTCAGAGGAAAACATACTTACTGAGTTTGAAAACCGGAATCCAGAGAAAAGATAATCTTAGGAAATGGACAGAAGGGCTGGGGATTGAGGCGGACGCACAGAGCGCTTGCCAGGTGTGCGACGGTCTGGCTAATGGCCCTCAGGACTGAATAACAGTAGTTGTGACTGTACTTGCCCGAAATCACAGCCCTTGGGAGGTGGAGGCAAGAGGGTTAGTAATCCAAAGTCACCCCAACCCAGGACATCCTGGGCTACATGAGATCATGTCTTTAAATAACAACAGAAACATAAGACAAAATATTAGTATTATATGGAATGTTTTCATAAACCAAATATGTATGTAATTAGAGTCCTTTACAGAGGGGAGAAGATTGAAAAATGTTTGGAGAAATGGTCAAAACCAAACACATAGATTCGTAGACTCCATGTTGTTTAAGTACAAAAACCACACTGAAATGTACCTGAAACCATATCAGAATCCAAAGGGTCAAACCCAGTTATGAAAAGAAAGTCCTAACAGGAGCAGCAGAAGACAGCACAGTGTGCTCAGTGAACAAAGATGAGGATGACAACAGATTTCTTACCAGAAACAACGCAAGTGAGAAGTCTGCCACCAACATGTTTGAGGTGGTAGGAACACACACGTGCAGTAAAGCAGCAGCAACCACAACAACACATCCAAATGCATAACCTCCAAAAGTGTAGGTTAAATAAGAACCTCTAAAAATGTACAAAAACTGAAAGAATTTATCACCAGCATAAAACAACTGTTAGAGACACTCCCTTAGCAGGAAAATGGTATCGGGTAAAAAACAAGAGAAGGGTGCCCTGTCTCTGGACTCATCAAGATGGTGTCAAAGTCTTCGCAGTAAGACAAAAGAAAGGAATAAAAAGGGTTACCAAAGAAAGGGAAGAGGTAAAATTATCCCTATTTGCGGATGACATAAATCTGTACTTAAAATATGCTACTGGCTGCACTAGGAAACTTTTATTACTTTATTTTTGTAGCATATTTGTTGTGTGTGTCCATGTTGTGTGCAGAGGTCAGAGAACTTGTGGAAGTCAGTTTTCTGCTTCCAGAAAACTTACAGATCCAGTGAACACTTTCAGTAAAGTCGCATAGATAAAATTAACATAAAAATCGGTTGCCTTTTTGCATACAAATAATAAACTTGCTGAGAAGTTTAAAAAAGAAAGAACTATCCCATTCAGCCATAGCTTTAAAATATAAATATAAGAAAGGAGTTAGAAGGGAGAAAAGGGTAAAATGATGCGAATACAGTGTGTTCATATATGAGTTTCTTGAATAAAGGTTACAAACACCAATGGATAAACCTCACCGAGAGATGAAAGACCCCTACAATGAAGCAATAAGATAATGACAAAGTGGCCAGAGAGATGGTTTGTTTGGTAAAATGTTTACTGTGCCAGCATGAGGTTCTGAGTTAGATACTCCAGAATCCACATAAGAAAACCGAGCATGGTAATGTGTGCTTGCATAATAATCAGTTAAAAATACATTAAAGACCTTATTTTGAAACCTGAAATGCTGAAACCACTAGGGGAAATACTCAAAAATATTAGTACAGGCACTTTCTGTAAAAGCCTGCTGGTGAGTTGGATCTCTAGAACCCAAGTAAATCTGGGCTCTTTAATCCACATGTGGGCCCCGTTCTCTCTCTCTCTCTCTCTCTCTCTCTGTGTCTCTGTCTCTCTCACACACATACACAGACACACATACAACACACATACACATATACACACACTTTATTAAATGATAAGTAATTTTTTTAAAACGAGGCTGGGGATTGCATAGTGGTTAAGCATGCTTGTTCCGCAA